CCTGTGTATCACCCCTGCCCACTCTGCTGACCCCGGAGGACCTGACCCCCCACTGGAGCCAGGGGCAGTTGCCCTCTGAGTAATAATGGAAAGCCTGTACCCAGAGCCAAGGCTTCTGCTTCACCTACTTACACCCCACCTGTGTTTGTTTGTTTTTCTTTTTAAACCATTGCAACCCAAACCCACTGCTATCAAATAGATTCTGACTCAGTGACCCCATATCGTGTTTTCTGAAACTAAATCTTTACAGGAGACAGATAAAGTCAATTTGTTTCTCGGGTATTCTAATTGCTAAGGTTCACATGTATAATTGCCATTTATGTTGGGGGTGGGGAAAATGTATTTACAATGAAAAAGTCAATGGTCTTGAAAAATTCTTTTAAAAAAATTCTATCATGCATTCTCCAGCTTCATTGCTATTATCAAAGCCTTATTTTTCAACTCCTGTCTCTTCCTTTTTACTTCCAAAGTTTGTATTCCAATCACCAGTAATCATTAATGCATCTCGATTGCATGTTTGACCAATATCAGACTGAAAAAGCTAGTAGGATTCTTCTGTTCCCTCATCAATGTCACAATGACAGTAGTGCTAGGTGCATAAATGTGAATAATCATTGTATGAACTGGTTTTCCTTGTTGGCATTTAGATACTGTTTTAACACAGATAGCATGGTACTCCAAGACAGATTTTGACATTTTCTTTTCGACAATGTGGTTCCGTTCCTTTTCAATTTGTCATTCCTAGCACAGTGTGAGACATGATTGTCCAACACAAAATGGCCAATTCTGGGCCATTTGAGTGCATTCATACCTAGGATTTCTTTATATGATATATTTCATTTTTGTAGACTTGCAATTTTCTTGTATGCATTTTTATATGCTCCACATTAATTGTGCCTACACATATATTTATGCTTACAACTGTTTCTTCTCATTTTGAGCCATGCCCCATCTGCAAAAGAAGGTCCCAAAAACTTTGTGTCAAGATGAACTCTCTGGTCTGAGGAGGCAGCTCTTCCCTGGTAGTATTGTAAGTGCCCCAAGCTAGGAGCTATCTTTGGGCACTATCTCAGACAATACTCCATTGCTAGTCGTAAGGTTTACAGTGACTAATCTCTGAAAAGTAGACCATTTATTCCTTCTTTGCAGTCTGTCTTAGTCTAGAACAGCGATTTCTCAACCTGTGGGTTGAGACCCCTTTGGGGGTAGAATGACCCTTTCACAGGGGTCGCCCAATACATCATGCCTATCAGATATTTACGTGACAATTCAAAACAGTAGCAAAAGTACAGTCATGAAGTAGCAACGAAGATAAGTTTATGATTGGGGTCACCACCACTTGAGGACTGTATGAAAGGGTTGAGGCATTAAGAAGGTTGAGGACCACTGGTCTAGAAGCCCCACTGAAACCTGTCCACCGTGGGGGACCCTGCTGGTATATGAAAGACCAGTGGCATAGCTTCCAGCGTCCCAGCAACACTCCAGCCACCAGTGTGACAAACTAACAGATCGTAATGGGAGGTGATGATGATAGTGCTTAAATTTTTATCAGATGACTAAGTAGAAATATGGTTCTTAAGGAAAATTAGCTTTGGAGAATCTAAGCAAAAAATACTACTGTTTAGATATTCAAAGCAGAACATGAATATCTAAATATGCTATCATTTGAAAACTAAGACCAGATTCAAGTGCGCAAATAAAACCGGGAGGAAATTCCCCTCGATGCTTGTCAAATTTTTAGAGTGTTTGGTTTGCCCTTTGGGGTTCAGATAAATTACATAATTACCTTGCACTACAAGGGTTTATTAGGCTGTTGTAACCTCACAGTCAAAACTTGGCACAATCAAAATCTTATAACTAGTTACTATTTATGATAACTCTCAAAACTAGAAATTGCCTACTCCTGTTGGGTAATTAGAAGCAGAAGGATGCGATTGTTTGTACAAAGTCAGTCGAATGTGGATTCTTCCTCAAAATCCATTCTCTGCTTTCTTAGGCTTTTTTTTTTTTTTTTGCCATTTAGCAGTGCATGCTGTTTCTCTTATTTTTCTTCATTCCTTAATTTCTACTGTATCCCTTGAACTATTACTTATTTGGCTTCAGTCTCTATTGTCCATTCTGTAAACATTTCTTTGCTTTGAACATAACTGATTTGATGAGTACTTTAGTTCCTCATCAAACGTGGCTTTGCTGTGCGTAACATTTTCCTTGCCAACTCCAGCACTTTCCCACATCTACTAGGTTCCTAGTGTGGCATTTGGACATGCATTCAAATGTTCAAACTCCCATTTCTTTTGTAATCCAACTCCCTTCCATTTAGATACATACTCTAACAGTCAATAACTTTTATACTATCGGCATTGTTTATGCGAAAATAAAATTACCCTGGTCAAGTGTTTCTATCTTCCATAAATTTTATGGAAGATAGTGTAATGACAAAGTGTAATGACAAAGTGAGAAAGCGAAGAAAAGAGCCACTGACAGTCTTCGAAGTCGTATTTCACTTTAAGGAATTGTGCTTACTTGGAAGAGAAGCCAGGTGAGAGAACTCCTAACAGTCAGATGAACTGCTGCTGACAGTTGGAATTCCGAGACTGCTTTTCTTCAGGAGGGGACGACCGGAAGCGAACTATGGATGCAACATTAAAATATTAAGTTAGGCAGTTTCTCTACCATAAATACAATGAAATGAGTTGCCAGGACATTGTGAAATTCTCTCTAGTGATCTCTTTGAAGCTAGAGCAGACACTCACTCATCTGGATTTGTTTAGGTGTGGTCCTGGTTGAAGATGAAGGGATGGGTCAGATAAATTCATGTGCTTTCCATTTAGTATGCCCAGAAGGTTCTTGATTAGCAGAAGGGAACATGAGCAAGAGGCAATCCATTGAGCACCCTAACAGCAATCAGCCTTGGGGCATTTTGAAAGCATCTGTTTGGGGCTTCAGTCTTCAGTTTGTCACCAAGTTGACTTCAGAGTCAAAGATTCGATTGCTGGGGCTCAGGGTAGAAGGAGGAAATGGAGTTGATGTCGAAATCAGCAATGAGGTCTGTCCTCCGTGCTGGTATTTCTGTTTGGACCCTTCTGGACAATATCAAATTAGTTTCCGTGGCTTGATGATAGGTTGTGATTCTGGCAACATTGTAGTCTCACTTTCTTCAGTCTCACTGAATTTCTTTCTCTCTCCTTTCCTTTAGGCTGAGGGTAGAAAGCTGGGACTGGTTGGCTGGGTCCAGAACACTGGCCGGGGCACAGTGCAAGGACAATTGCAAGGTCCCACATCCAAAGTCCGCCCTATGCAGGAATGGCTTAAAACAAGAGGAAGTCCCAAATCGCACATCGACAGAGCAAACTTCAAGAATGAGAAAGCCATCCCCAAACTGGATTACTCAGACTTCCAAATTGTGAAGTAATCGCCATAATGTACATTTTCTGCGATAGTCTCCATGTTTGTTTTTTATTATTAATTAGCAATATTATAATTTAATAGTGTTCAATATTAGAATTTGTGTTCAATATTAAAATTTATTTATAAGTTATCTTCGTATTAGATATTTGAATGCTATTATGTATTACATGTTTTGTGGATTACAACCAGACATCATAATCAATAAAAGCATATATCAATACATTAAACCTTCTGTTAAGCTCTTTTTTTTTTCCCTTCAGTGACCTTTTTTTTTTTTTCCAGTGATGACTTCTTTTGGGCAAAATAAGATGTTTATTCAGTAAACATTTATGGGGAGAGTATTTTGAGATGACTTAAAGCAATCTGAACCAAAACCAAATTCACTGCCATTGAGACGATGCCAACTCATAGTGCCGCTGCAGGGCAGAGTGGAACTGCGCGTGAGTTTCCAGTGTACGGGAGTAGAGAGCTTGTCGCTCCCACGGAGCAGCTGGTGGTGCCCAACAGCTGGCTTGCATATCGCAGCCCAACTCGTAACCACGCTGCCACCACTGGCTCCTAAGCAATCTGCAGGAAAGAAAGCAGTGGCCTGACACGATTCTATTTCTAACAGGGACAAATGCCCCAAGTTGACAGCTGCTCAAATTATGTTTTGGACTAAGTCCTTTTAGCATCCTGAAAGTTCTGTTGTCCTCTTGTAAGAAATTTACATAAAGCAGTCATCGGAATTTTGCCTCATTAAAGTTTTCTGATTTGGTTTATTCTGTCACTTAAACAAGCATGTATCAAGTGTTTACTAGGTTTGACAAACTTAAACGTTTCAGTTAAGATGATAACGCAAAACCCAAGGACTGGTTAATAATTCCTAAGCACCTACTCTCACACTGTGGCTAGAGTTCCTTCCACTCTCCGACCCGAAGCTGCAGTAGCATTGGGAAAATTCCAGAGAACTCAGTGAGGTCAGTCTTCGCGTCCTCCTTGGTCAATTCCAAGGGCTTAAAAAAGTCCGAGGCTAAAGTCCATTATCTTTCATTCTACTCTTCCGCAGACTATGTGGACGCCCTTCTCACTGGCTCTAGTTCTGAGCATGCTTGGCCAAGGGGATGCAGCGGTAAACAATACGCTTACAGACAAAACCTTCAGCTACCTTGTCGGGAAGAAGACAAACCAAAAAAAGCGGAAACTATATATTGCTGTAAAAGGCAGTACACACGTGACTGCTAAGCACGAGACTGGAAGTTAACGTTCATGGGTAAGAAAAATATGCAGCACGGTTCTCTGGCACAAGGGGTCGCCAAGGGTCAACATTTGCATGGCAACTACCAAAGTAGGGCGATGCGGTAAAACCGAAGTAGAAACTACCAGAAACCCCTTTCCCACCGGGCCGAAAGGCGACCAGGTTCAAGAATAGGGCCGGGCGGGGAGGCTGAGGGGCGGGGCTCAAAGGTGCAAAGACCCTGCGGCGGACGAGCGGGCAGCCCCGGAGCCCCTGACGCGCGTGCGCAGTGGGACGTCGCGACGGCAGGCTCGCGGCGCGTCCTAGAAGCGCGTGCTCGCGGGCCCGCGCGTGCGTGTCTCGCGAGCGTTCTTGCGCGCGGCCGACGTTGGAGGCGGTTGGTTTGGGGATCGGTGGAGCTTGATGCGAGGTGACTGGGGGCCAGCACGCGACAGCAGGACGATTCTGGGAGCCCCTCAGCCCAGAAGGGGCCGCGGTGACCGCGACGGGCCTGCTTGGCGGACCCAGACGCGCCGGGAACCCGGAGGCCCCGCCACCTTCCTTGCGCGCGGGCGCCCCCGTCAGGGCGGGCGGTGCTTCGGCGGCACGTGGGAGGGGGCGGGGCGGGGCGCACCGGCACCGCGTCCCGCGCGAGCCTGGGGGGCCCGCGGGAGGCCGCCCGCCGGGTGGCCCCACCGTCACGGTTATTGTCAAGGTAGTTTGTGGCCACAGGCGTTCAGCAACAGACCGAAACGTATTTATGGACTTTATTCTAAAATGACTTCACAAAACGTTTTACCAAACCGCTATTATCTTTTCATTCCATTTTCCCACGAACCGTTTGGAGCCCTCTTGTACGAGAGGTAAAAATCAAATGATTCAGAAAGACATAATAAAGAAATTTCCGATGTCATGTCTTGCCATGCCCGTCTCCTTTGCCTGAGGCAACTGCATTTAAGCAGTAATAATAACCACTCTTCTCTTTTTAATAATCTTTTAGTATATTTGGTAAAACCGTTTCATGTCTTTATTCTGTTTCTTCGCCGTCCTTAATTGCAGTGCTTAACACTTCATTTTAGGTGATTTCTACAAGCCAGGCCTATTGTGTAATGTATAAGTGTTATGAAACCAGCTTGGACATTTTTTTTTAATGAATAATTTCTAGCGAATGTTTTTAAGCTGAATTTAGTTTAGGCATCTGTTTTTGGTGAAGTGGTGAAAATTTCAATTACTGGCTTTATAGGTCAGCATCAAATGTGATTATGATTTAGCTTTAGGGCATGTGGGATTTAGAAAGGAGCAGTGAAAATTAAGAAATGATGAATGCTGCTTTGGAAGTTAAGTCCATTGCTTCAAACATAAGCTTTGCGATCTGTCTAGAGATTAGAGTGATGTAGTTAGCTTTGTTTGGTTTTACAGTTTGCTTTAAGAAAAGACATTTTCTTTACTTCAAATGATGTTTCTCTATAATGCTTAAGATAAATGGGCATGACTTGTAACAGGTTTTGGCTGTGTGTTTTCCTCCCGTAGGCAATTTTTTTCCAGTCTGTTAAGGAAACCAGCATTTGGCAGCGACACCAGCTTTCTACCTGCCATGATCAAGTGCTTGTCAGATGAAGTGCAGGCCAAATTGCGTTCTGGTTTGGCCATCAATTCCTTAGGCCAGTGTGTCGAGGAACTTGCCCTCAACAGTCTTGATGCTGAAGCAAAATGTGTGGCTGTCAGAGTGAATATGGAAACCTTCCAAGTTCAAGTTATTGACAATGGATTGGGGATACGAAGTGATGATGTCGACAAAGTGGGACATCGTTACTTTACTAGTAAATGTAGCTCTGTGCAGGACTTGGAGAACCCAAGGTTTTATGGATTCCGGGGGGAAGCCTTGGCAAGTATAGCTGACATGGCCAGTGCTGTAGAGATCTCATCCAAGAAAAACAACACAATGAAAACGTTTGTGAAATGGTTTCAGAATGGAAAAGCCCTCGAAGCCCGTGAAGCTGACCTGACTAGACCAAGTGCTGGGACAACGGTCACTGTATATAACCTATTTTACCGATTACCTGTACGGAGGAAATGCATGAATCCTCGACTGGAGTTGGAGAAGGTTAGGCAGAGGATAGAAGCACTCTCACTCATGCGGCCCTCCATTTCTTTCTCATTGAGAAATGATGTTTCTGGCTCCATGATTCTTCAGCTTCCTAAAACCAAAGACACATGTTCCCGATTTTGTCAAATTTTTGGATTGGGTAGGTCCCAAAAGCTAAGAGAAATTAAATTTAAATATAAGGAGTTTGAGCTTAGTGGCTATATCAGCTCTGAAGCACATTACAACAAGACTATGCAGTTTTTATTTGTGAACCAAAGACTGGTCTTCAGGACGAAGGTACATAAACTCATTGACTTTCTGTTGAGGAAAGAAAGTATTATATGCAAGCCAAAGAATGGCTCTGCCAGTAGGCAAATGAGTGTAAGTCCTCGGCATCGGTCTAGCCCAGAACTTCATGGGATATATGTCATCAACGTGCAGTGCCAATTCTGTGAGTATGATGTATGCATGGAGCCAGCAAAAACTCTGATTGAGTTTCAAAACTGGAACAATCTCTTGGTTTGCATTCAGGAAGGAGTGAAGATGTTTTTAAAGCAGGAAAAATTATTTGTGGAATTATCAGGTGAGGACCTTAAGGAATTTAGCAAAGATAATGGTTTTAGTTTATTTGGCCCTACTCTTCAGAAACATATATCCTCTGATGAGAAATGTGATCGGGTCAATTTCCAGGAAGCATGTGATAATATTTTGGATTCCTATGAAATGTTTAATTTGCAATCAAAAGCTGTCAGAAGAAAAGCTACTATGGGAGACATAAACTTACAGAATTCTAGGGGTTCAGAAGCTATCAGAAAAACGAATGACTCATTTGTACTCACCTGTGAACCAGATGGCCCTAGCACTAGTAAAATTATGGAGTTACCTTTCCGAAAGAGAGAAAGCTCTTGCTCAGAGTCAAAGATCTTAGAACAAGAGTCACTTGAAGCCTCGGAATCAAAAGAAAACGAGAAACATAAAACTTGGGTGGAACTTAACTCTCCAGCAAACCCAAGCGGAACCAGTTCAGAAATGTTTGCAAGCTCCCTTCAGGCACCACATCCCTTTGAGGATAGTGGAGAAGATCCAGAAACTCAGAATGGAAGTACCATCGCCGATGGCATAACTGCCAGCATCCTGAAAAAGAATGTAATTCAGAGTCAACTAGGGAGATTTAAAGATGCTGCTGAAATGAGATGCCAGCCTCAGTCTTTTGAGACAACGGTGTTATTGAGTGCACATGGCACTCAGAGAGGAGAAGGAGAGGGGGAAAAGGAGCCTGGTAATTGTCGAAGCACAAACATTTTTAGTTATGGACAAGTTAAATTATGTTCCACTGGCTTTATAACTCATGTGGTACCAAATGAGCAAACTAGATCAACTGAAACAGAACATTCATTTAAAAATTGTGTCCAACCTAGTCCTGTGAGTGCCAAAGAAACATTTTTAAATAGAACATATCGTTCAATTGAGACTCCAAAGATTAAAGATTTAACTAGCACTTTAAATACAGAATCTGCACAACTGCCTAACGAGATATTTTGCAGAACAAATACAAATTATGGAGTAGAGAACAAGACTATGGGAACTTATAAAAATTTTACAATTTACCAGGAAGGTAGTAAAAAGTCACACACAGGTTGCTCACCTGATACATCATCTTGGTATAAACGTGATAGTAAGAAAAGAGAGAAGCTTATTGGTTCCTCCAAACCCATAACCTGGAAAAAGCTAAGTCTGAGTTCACAACTAGGGTCCTTAGAGAAGTTTAAGAGGCAATATGGGAAGGTTAAAAACCTGAATTCAAAAGCAGAGGAAAATAATTTTGAAATCACTACAGATCCCAGTCCTCGAGTTGAAACTGACATTCTGCTGAAAGACAAGAAGCACCTCGATAGTTCTGATATTTGTGAATTCACTGTAAAACATAATCATTCGAATGGTAGTTGTGAACCAGGAAGTCATACTCTTTACTCAGAGAAGTTACCATTTTCCAAGAAAGAAGATTGTTTGGAACAAGACGCACCTTGCTTGAGAGAAAGTCCTATAGCTCTAAAGGAGTTACCTAACTCCAACCGAAAGTCTTTGAGTGTTGGGAGGTCGCCTGAGTCCCTAGCCTCCAAAGTGTCCAGAATGAAGGGTTCTGAAAGAGAGACGCAAACACAGGAGATGATGAGTCATTTTAATGAATTTCCACAATCAGATTCTGGTAGTAACGACAGATTAACCCTAGATTGTTGCCAATCATTTAAAACTGAGCATAGAAAACCGGAAAGTGGCATCACGCCAGTGTCAGGCCCTGTCCCAGAAGATAATTCCTTCGCTAGAGATAAAGAAACGTATTCTGACAATACCAGAGGGGACTGTGTGGTGCCAGGAACTCCTTTGGTATTACCCTCAAATAATTCTAACGTCGGCCAGGACGATTCCGATGCTCTTATATCTTCCGAGCCACAGATGGAAAACACCGGCTCTTCCAGTAGAATGTTCATGAGTCATGGAGAAGACTCCACGGCCAACCAAGATGAAACTTGCTTTCCACGTGAGGGCTCTGAAGCAAGAGATTGTTTTGAAAACGAAGAACCAAGCACATGTTCTTTGGATTGGCAACAGCGTTTTGATGCAGCCCAGGGAAGGATGGTTTATGTCAACAAAGTAACTGGACTGAGCACATTCACTGCTCCTCCTAAGGACGTGCGGGCTGCTTGTACGAAAGATCTCACCACCGTGGCAGTGGATGTCGTTCTTGAGAATGGTAAGTCTGTAGTTCACTGGCATGAAATGCTTTTTTTAAAATTAAATTTTATTTTTTTAATGAAATGCTTTTAAATATGGGACTATTAAAAAAATTACTGTTCAAAGAGATTACCTCAGCAGCTAAAATATTTTGAAGATTATAAAACACCTTGTATTTTTTGGTATATAAAGTCTCTCTAGTCCCAAAGTATTTAAATCTAGAAATGCAATAAATCACTGATAAAGGATGTGTGTATAGTGTGTATGTGGGGGGCGGGAATGAAGGGGGTGCCCCCCAAAATGAATTTTTTTTCAAAGTTATGTATTTAAATTATTTTGCACAACCATATCACCTTCGAAGTACTCTCCATTACACTTAATACATTTGTCATATCTGCAGTTCCATTCTTGAAAGCATTTTTCAAACCCCCCAAAATGAATTTTTTTCCAAAGTTATGTATTTAAATTATTTTGCACAACCATATCACCTTTAAAGTACTCTCCATTACACTTACTGCATTTGTCATATCTGCAATTCCATTCTTGAAAGCATTTTTCAAACCCCCCAAAATGAATTTTTTTTCAAAGTTATGTATTTAAATTATTTTGCACAACCATATCACCTTTAAAGTACTCTCCATTACACTTAATACATTTGTCATATCTGCAATTCCATTCTTGAAAACATTTTTCAAACTCATCTCTTTGGATGGCTGATAGGACCTCCCTCGGTTTTTCCTTCACTCCTTCTATGTTGTCAAATCCCTCTTCATGCTCGGAAACAAAAAGAGCAAGGTCAGGTGAGGGAGGTACATAGGGCAAGAGAGGCATGTTGTTTTTTGGCAAAAACTGGCACACTGAGATGTCTGCGTAAGCAGATGCATTGTCATGGTGGCAAAACCAGTGCCCCTTCTGCCACAAATCAGGCCTTTTTGTTGCACACTATTATGCAATCTTTTCAGAACCTCTAAATATAAAACTTGATTAACAGTCTGACCTGGTGGAACCAACTCCAAATGCACTACGCGTCAACATTTTAGTCCGTTTGGGAAGTTGATGGACGTCCAGAACGAGGCTTGTCATCAAGCAACATTTTACTTTTTTTGAAACCAGAAACCATTCGTACACTTGAGTTTTTCCCCATAAATGCTGTCCTTGTAAGCTGTGTTTAACATCACAGCTGTTTCTGCAGCATTTTTCCCTAGCAGGAAACAAAATGTCACAGCACATCCTCTTCTCTTAAATCGGCCATCGCAAAAAGTGAGGTTCAAGTAAAACTGCTTTTATGAAAAAGTTTACTGTGACCAGAGAGAACCTTCCCAGGCAATGCCACTGGGTATACTGCCAGCGAATTGCTCGATGCTCGCCTAGTGAGGAGAATAACGTGTACTACAAAAGTTCTGCCCAGCAGAGCTTTTTTCCATTTGTTTGTTTGTTTTGTGGGGGGTACCCGTCGTATGTATGTGTAAGAGGCCAAGAATCCAATTTCAATGACTGTCTCCGTGGTTGGGAAAAGCCACTGTACTTCCTTTCCCTTTTCTCTCCTCCCTCCCAAACACAAACGTACTCTTCTCAGAATTGGCCTGGAAAGGCACCTGCAGTAGCGGTGTGGGGTTTTTCTGGAAGTTGCTTTCTGTTTTCCCCAGATAGGGACAGAATGACCTGGCAGTCAGCCCACATTTTCCTAGTAGAATCTGCTCAATGCAGTACTACATTTGTGAACTTTTTTTCCCTCCAGAAAATCACTTTATCCTATACATTAAAAAAAATTGTAATAAAGGTTTTGGAATCTAGGTACTTTCATAATTGGACTTTTCAAATCTACTCTAGGCACAGATGCTAATCAACTTCATCTGCTTATGGTATGAGTAGTTATTATTCAGGATGATGATAATGTGCCTCTTAGGTCCTCCCAGGTTCTGCTAGAGCAGGTCTGAGTCAGTATTGAACGTGACATTGTTTTGGCAATGTGTTGAGAGCCAGATGTTGGGAGATGGTGAAGCTGGTTTCCATCTGGCTATAAGTCTTGGTTCTGTACCAGGAGGATAGACATTAAATGTGTATCCCTCTTAAATGACTTGTATGCTGCAAAGGAGTATAAATTGTATGACTATAGCTGTAAAACAACTTATAATTTCTCCTTAGGATGACTCTGTCTAGGAAGAGGCTCTGAGTTAGTTCATGTTAAATAAGACCTTTATGTTTCAATATGTTTTGGGGGTTTTTTCCTTGTGAAAAAGTTTTTTTTCTGTAGTAACCTTCCAAGTATTAATTAAGTGAAAACCCTTTCTTTTAATATGGCTCCAGAGACTATTAGGTTGCTTTTAAAGTAAGGTGACCGGACATCCCGTTTTTTGGCGGGACAGTCCCGATTTTTAACAATTTGTCCCCTGTCCCGCGGCGTTTTAAGGAAGTCCTGATTTTTGGAAAGAATGCACAACACGCTGCTGCCATGTGGCTGTTCCACCAGGACATGAGTTTTATCAACGGTCACCTTCTCTTAAAGACACGTGTGCTTCTCCGCTCTGGGTCCTGATGTACACGAAATGCTTATCAGAGGTAAATCGGAGATGCTGGCACCTCATCCTTCTCAAGTGCAACTGCTTCTGGTTTACGGCCCCCAAAATAACGGGTTTGCAATCAGTTGTGCCATGGTTGCTGCTAGAAGAAAGAAGGAAAGCTTGGCTGCCACATTCAGCACGGACTTCTCCTGGTAAATGAATCTGGATGTTTAAAACACTTCAACCTACTTAACGTGTGAATTATTAGCAAGTCTGCTAGTGAACGTTTGAGGGTCCTGTTAACTCTGTTTCATAAAGGAAAACAAAGTATTATGGGCACAGAAACAAATTTCTTGAAGAGAAATAAATTGTCCCTCGTTGAGAACTACTGGAACCTACCCTATGCCCTCCATCTGTCCTGTAGAGATGGCTTTTGGGGCAATGTGGTAATGTTAGCAGAATACTTTCATTAAAGGACTTAGGACTCTCAGGCTAGTTTTTAGTGGTTTTGCCTTTTGTCTTCATTCAATACGTGCCAAGACAGATTTCCTGTCATTTAACTTTTAAAGGTTTATTTGTATTTTGAGTTTCAAATTTCCAAGTTCTCCTTTTTTATGTGTAGGGTCTCAGTACAGGTGCCATCCTTTCAGAAGTGACCTTGTTCTTCCTTTCCTTCCTCGAGCTCGGGAAGAGAGCGCTGTGACGAGACAGGATAACCGAGGTAGGGGCAGTAACAGACATGACCGGGACCACCGAGTTCATCCCATACCACCCACCTTGAAAACAGAGCAGGCCTCGTTAATAAGCTTCCTCTGTGCCAACTGTGCCTTCCTGGAACCATGAATTCCCCATGGTCCTATTTAACAGCAGAACTAAGTAATTCAGTGCATGCATTTAGATCAGAAATTACTTTTCCAGACTTGAGGTCAGTACTGGGTGATCATGCACCGTCTGCGGTGTCTTGTGATTTGGAAAAAGGTCTCAACTCTCTGTAAAGATTGAAGTTGCCCTCCATCTTGCAATAGTTTTATCTGAACAAAACCTTTGTCTTTCTTTTTTATTATTATTATTTTTAATTTATTTATTTTAGCCTTTGTCTTCCAAAAAGACTGTTGACAGCTATCGTTTTTAATTTTTTATAAATTTAAAAGTAGATAGAAACTCTTTTTACCTAATGGAAGTGAAGTACTGATTTGAGCCATGTTCTCTTCTGGACTTGTATTTTGAAATATCCCTTATAAACAGTCTCAGCAGATCGAGATGATTCACAGATACAATAAACACTGACATGTGTAGAACATAGGAACAGTGTGCCCTGTCTTTGTTTCTGAGGCCACACCACACCCCGTAGACGATACCATTCAGCCTGTTCTCTGAGGCTTTTGTTGCCGACTTCACCTGTGCCCTTTGCCTCTAGACCCTGTGGATGGTGCTGTGGACAATGAGTCTCTCCGGTCTTTGTTCTCGGAATGGGACAATCCAGTATTTGCTCGTTATCCAGAGGTGCGTCTGCAGCTGTTTTTCTTGGCCTTTCATTTGAAAGATCAATTGCATTTAAGCTGAGTATGGGCAGGAATGACTATACTAATTTGTGATCCTTCATGGAGCCTGGGCAGGTTTTTAAATACTTGATTTAGAAATTAATGATCTAATGTGGGGAAGAATCAGCAAAATGCATAGCATTTGGACTAAATGCGTATAATCAGTGCATGATCCACTCTTCCCAGCCCTGACGCCACTTTGGCAAAGGGTTCAAGACGATGGTTAAAAAAACCCTTAGCTGGGTGAGAGGAGATGTCAGACAGTGTAAGAAATGACAAAATAATCATAATTTATAAGTGATCAAGGGTTTGTGAGGGGAGGAAGGAGGGAAAAAATGAGGAGCTGATACCAAGAGCTCAAATAGAAAGCAAATGTTTTGAGGATGATGATGGCAACAAATGTACAAATGTACTTGACATAATGGATGTATATATGGATTGTGATAAGAGTTGTACGAGCCCCCAATAAAATGATTTAAAAACAAACAAACAAACCCTTAGTCCTGGGCAAGCCAATGACTCTTTTGGTGGAGCACAGCCCCTCCTCGAGCTGGGTTCTGTCCTCTCCCGGGTGGTGAGCTAGCACAGGACGTCCTGGGCTGTGGTGTCTTGAGGATGGATAATAAAGGGGCGTTTGATTACTGAGCCTTCAGTTTCAATGTTTTCAGGACTTGGAACCTAGACAATTTGTTATTCTGAGCCAATATTGGTCTTTGTCAACAATTTTGTTTAGAAAGAGAAAGTGCTACTTAAAACAAATTAATTCCTAAAGCCTGCGGAATGGTTAAAAGCGCCATTAATTCAGCCTACCTTTAGTTGATTCTGTGGAAAAATTAAAAAAAAACCCACCAATGAATGCTTTTAAAGCCTTTTGAACCCTTTGGTAAGGTCATGCTGCAGCCATGAGACGTTTAAGGGTGAATGGTCTTTGCACTGGGCTTCTAGGTGGCTGTTGACGTGAGCTGTGGCCAGGCGGAGAGTGTGGCTGTGAAAATCCACAACGTTTTCTTTCCCTATCGCTTCACTAAAGGAATGGTTCACTCGATGCAGGTAAATGTTTGGCTTTTAAATTTCAGGAAACAAAAAAATAAATAAAACCTGTGTAAGGCCTAAGCTAGACTAACTCTTATGGAGTTAGATATACTCAGTGATTCAGATTATTCTGGTCAAAGCTCTTTCATATACATCTTTCATAATCGTACTGAAGTTTTAATGATCAAAAGGAAAAAACAAAGGAGGGAGGGGTGGATTATGGACCCAGGCACACCATGCCAAGGGCTGTTAAACTGTCTCTGTAACAGAAGATGATTTATTGACTTTATGTTTGACAACAAAGTTCAACCAAGTGTTTTGGAGACATTGTCTTGAAGTTTGCAGTAGTGCCCCTTTTAAAATGACCCTCTCTTGTGTGAGGCCACAGAGGCCCGTCTCAAGAGACTGCTGAGTTTGGAGCGGCATGAACCAAAGGAGCTCTTGGGCTCGTTTGCCTGCTTACTGTGTACTCTACACCCCGTGGCTCTCGGGCTCCTTGTTCTCAGCATGGAGCTCTGTTAGACGTTGCTTACATGTAGGCAAACTCCTAGCCTGGCATTGACCTGGTACAGAGCAGGCAAGCAGTTGGCCCATGAGGTAGTGAACCTGACTGGGAGAATCCCGTGTTCCTGGCCAGACAGGTGCTACCAAAGTTTAAAGCCACCAATGGCCCTTAGTGTTTTCTTGGACCCAAACTCACTTGCACTGCGATGATTCTGATTTCTAGTGACCCTGCAGGACAAGGTAGAACTACCTTGGTGGGCTTCTGAGAGTACATTTTACAAGAGTAGAAAGCCTCGTCTTTCTCAGCACGGCTGGTGATTTCAAACTGCTAAACGTACCGTTAGCAGCCCGACATGTACATGACAGGCCCTCAGTGATTCTCTCTCTCTTTAAAAATTGGTTTGTACCCTTTTTGTCCGTCAACTCTGATCATGTTAATAATTCTCTGATCATGTTGCTTATCATTTTGGTAGGAAATTTTTCAGATCTCTGTAGTGTCTGGTATTTTCCTCTGGGGTGCCTCCCTTTGTCTGTGCTCCTATGTAGTTGCCCACGTTTATCTTCTAACCACTTTATTTGCCCATTCTTTCATCCTCCCTAATGATTCCCTTTGGGCATCCTGGCGTAGTGGGTACATGTTGGGCTGCTAACCCAAAAGTCAGCAGTTTGAAACCACCAGCTGCAAAAGTGGGTGAAGGGAGACATTGGATGGTTTAAGATATGACAAAATAATAATAATTTATAAATTATCAAGGGCTCATGAGGAGAAGGGGGAGTGGGGAGGGAGGGGAAAAATGAGCTGATACCAAGGGTTTGAGTAGAAAGCAAATGTTTTGAGAATAATGAGGGCAACAAATGTACAAATGTGCTTGACACATGGATGGATGGATGGATGGATTGTGATAAGAGTTGTACAAGCCCCCAATAAAATGATTTAAAAAAAAAAAGAATGAATGAATGAATGAAACCATCAACTGCTCCATGGGAGAAAGATAAGGCTTTCTACTCCCATAAAGAGTGACAGTCTTGGAAACCCACAGATGCAGTTCCACCCTGTCCTGTAGGGTCGCTGTGAGCCAGAATTGATGGGATAGCAGTGAGTTTGAGTCTAGTGACTCCCTCAGGCTCGCCAGCATCTCGCCTCAGGCTTAGAGACAAGTGTTACAATGTAAAAGACTCTACACAACTGCTTACTGATAATGTACAGTTTCTCAATTATGATGTAGATACAGCTTTATTGCTTTTAATTAGTGTTGTGCCACTTATTTGAATGTATGGCAGGTTCTCCAGCAAGTGGATAACAAGTTCATTGCCTGTTTAATGAGCACCAAGGCCGAAGAGAATGGTGAGACAGGTAAGAATGGAGGTTAGCCTTGATTAGTAATCAGCTAGCCTTTTGACAACTTCTTTGTAAGGTTATTGTTGATGTATAATGCAGGATCAATGAGTTGGATAGATTAAGGAAAACTTATCTAAATAAAAAATATTAGGAAACAAAAAATACATTTCATTTTACACACACGAATGCATTGAAATAGGACTGAAAAGATAAGCATTGAATGATTGCAAGTAGTTACTTTGCAAATGAGAAAGGGGAAAAGTGAATAGGGAATTTCACCTTTTACTCTTTAGATGTTATATTTGACTTTTTAATAATGAGTATATTTTTATATGTTCCATTTATAATGTTCTTGTTGTTAGCGGCCTACAAGTTGGTATAGACTCATAGTAACCCCATGTGACAGGCTGGAACTGTCCATAGGGTTTTCTAAGCTATAATTTTTACATGTGAAGATTGCCATGCCTTACCCCCACAGAGCTGTGGAGCAGGGTCAAACAACCGACATTTGGTTAGAAGCCAAGCTCTTAACCCTTGTGCTACCAGGGCTACTTTTTAATAATAATAAATCTGTTACCAGCAAGTCCATTTCAATTCAAAGTGACCCTACAGAACAGAGTGGAACTGCCCCCGTGGCTGTAGGCTATAAGGAAGAAGATTACCACATCTTTCTCCTCCAGAAAGCAGCTGATGAAACAAAAATCATTCATAAGTAGTAGCAATTCAATCAATAAATATTGATTGAGTGCCTGCTGGGTGCCTGGGACTGTGCGAGGCCCTAGGAATCACGGCCAGCAGATATACAGGCAGGAGAAATAGATAACCATAGAGATTTTCTGTTTGGATCATCACATAGGTGATCTGTTTATATATTCTAGCCTGAGATTAGAGGAGCTTTCTGACGTGGTGATAAAAATCTGAGTTGTCAGCATGATGCTGATCCTTGAAGTCACAGATGTGAACTTGTTACCTCGTTTTAAAATCGTGTGAACAGAGGGGAGGTTCTGATTTTGGAATAAATTTAATATTTAACAACAACGTAGAATCAGCAAGAGATCGCGAAGGAACAGCCAGAACCATAGGACAGAAGCAGAACAACGTTGTGTTGAAAGCCAAGACTTCATGACAAACACCGCTGCTGAGGACCAAAACACCTGCTGGAAAGGTGGCGAAGAAAGCTGATGGCGCCCGGCTATCAAAAGATATAGCGTCTGGGGTCTTAAAGGCTTGAAGGTAAACAAGCGGCCATCTAGCTCAGAAGCAACAAAGCCCGCATGGAAGAAGCACACAGCCTGTGCGATGACCACGAGGGGTCGGAGGACCAGCATCAGGCGTCATCAGAACAAAAGGAATGAAAATGTCTTGAGGACTATGTCATAAAAAAAAGATAGACCCTCTCACCAGAGCCTAGCACAGGATCCCTAATTCACATTGGTCCCAGCTTCAAATCTGAAGCTGTTCCCTCAAGTCCATTACTTATTCCACTATTTGTCCAATGCAAAATGCTCATCACTGCAAATTCCTCGTGCCCTCCCACGAGTTTAACTTTTCCATTTGGGGCTGTGTTTCAACATGTTTTCAGAAAAATGGTTTCCTTAAGGTTTAAGGTCTCGTGCCATGATTTTTATGGCGTCGTGGATTTTTTTCTTAATCTCTTAGATTAAGAAAAGCAAATATTACCTATTTTGATCAAATTCAGGAAGTAAATTTTTATTTAAATATAATTAAAGTCATAAAATTACAAACTAAAAACTCCCTTTAGTCCCTTTTTCAACAGATTCCTAAGAAAGGAAACATTTAAAAAATGTTGCAATTGTACTCATGCAATCGAGGATCAGTCCTTCTGTCATTGAGAAAGGGACTTCCCTGGAGGGTGGGCTTCAGGGGTGGGTCAGGACATTCTATCTCTTCCCTTCCACGTCAGAGCTTCAAGCTGTGCTGCTCAAAAGCATCACCTGAGAGTTTTCTAGACTTGTCAAATCATGTGTCCCACTCCCCACCTGTAGAATATAAAGCTGCATCTTAATAAGATGCCCACATGGTGTGTGGCGCCATCAAAATGTGAGGCACCTGAGTAAGGTGGAATAAATAACGCCCTGTGAATGAAACCCTTCCACTGGCTGCTTCTGTACAGAGCAAGAATGTGTTTCTACTTTCAATTGCTTAGAAGGGGGAGCAAAAGAAGAATATGCTTGACACATTAAAATCATGTGAAATTCCTATTATACTGTCAATAAATAAAGTTTTATTGGAGTGCAGCCACATTTATCTGTTCACAAATTGTCTATGGCTGCCTTGGCATAAAATGAGTAGCTATTGTAACAAAAACTGGCTCCCAGAGCCTAAGATATTTTCCATCTGGTCCTTTCCCAGAGAAGTTTGCTGAAAGCCATCTGCAGTGTGATAGGACTACCTTTTTCATGGGCCCCAGAGTTGCTTTCAAATCAAGGTCAGCTGATGATAAGAATGTGATGTCTAATGATCGTCTGTTGTATCACATTTAAGTCATTAAAGCAAAATCAGCCCTTGACTTTTAGGAATGTAGGACTTTAGCCTTGTATTAGAAATGAAACACTGATGAACTAAAGAGGTTTTCATCAGGAATAAACCTGTTACCATTTTACCTATAATTTCATTTGTTTAGGAAATAAAGGTGAACGTTTTACTCTTCAGTATGCGTAGTTTCTGTTGTGCTCCTCTCTCCCTCCTTCAACTCACCGGGATTGTTCCATGTCGATCTGAGAAACTGACACCCAGAGGCCTTCTCATCTTCTAGGTGGGAACCTGCTGGTGCTGGTGGATCAGCACGCAGCCCATGAGCGTATCCGCTTGGAGCAGCTTATTACAGGTAAGGGTCCTTTTGGAACTAGAAGAGATTTGAGACTCCCCACAAGAATCAGTATGCCTGAAATTTTTTCTGATCGTTATAAGGAAAGATGTATGTTGGAAAAATTAAGCCCGAGCTCTGGTTTGGCCTTTGGAATACTTCCCTTTACTAGCAAACATTCCGGCTCTGTGTCCAGGGTCAGAGGCATGCAAAACCAAACTCACTGCCGTCAGTTAGTCCCACTCACAGTGACCCTGTGGCACGGAGCAGAACCACCTCCTGTGGGTTTCCAAGGCTGTGTCAGTCTTTATGGAACCAAAAGCCTCATCTTTCTACCGTGGAGTAGCTGGTGGGCTTGACCTTGCTGTTAGCATCCCAATATGTAACCCACGACACAACCAGGGATCCTTTTGTCATCAACTCAGAGGTATCGAAGAGTTGAGCTACCATATATACTCGAGCATAAGCTGACCCAGCTGTCAGCCGAAGCACCTAATTTTACCACAAAAACTGCATTAAACAATGTGCTGAAAAACTCAGCTTATACGCGCGTATATATGGTACTTCACTATGACACCCAGCACAAAGACATACTCATCCTAGGCTATCAAACACCTGTTCTTCAGTTTACCAAACAGAGGTCACCAGGAGGTCAGAACACCCATTGTATTATTGTTTATTTTTATTTTTAATATAAATTTAATTTTATATGTATTTTTCTCCTCTTTTTCTCCCATATTATCCAATTTCTCTCCCCAAATTACTATGCTTTTTAATCTTTGTTACTAATTTTTCTTATCAGAGGCAATATGTTCTCCAAGTGGTAAAATATCAAGAAAAGCTTTACTCTTGTGGTCAAGTAATGAAAAATCCTGAAGTTAAAAATTTAATAAGGGCCTCGGGAGATATCTCATGTACTGTTGTGGTTGTGATTGTTAGGTACCATTGACTCATCATGACTGAGTGCAGCAGAGCAGATCACTGCCCTGTCCTGTATCATGCTCACAATTATTGTTAGTTGACCCCGTTGCTACAGCTATTGTGTCAATCAATTGCCTTGAAGGTCGTCTTCTTTTTCCTTGCCCGGTGCTTCACCACGCACGAGGTCGTTTTCCAGGGCCTGGGCCTCCAGAGCACATGAGCTGTCGTCTCCCCGCACGCAAGGGGCGTTCTGGCTGTTCTTCAAAACAGACTGTTTGTTCTTTTGGCAGCCCATGGTACTTCACGTATTATTGCCAGCACAATAATTTGCTCGCATCAATTGTTCCCTGGTCTTCCTTACTCATTGTCCGGCTTTCCCATGCATTGGAGATGATTAGAAATGGCTTGGCTTGGGTCAGGTGCACCTAGACCTTAAAGTAACATCGTTGATTTTTAACACTTTAAAGAAAGTCTTGTGCAACGGATTTGCCCAATTCTCGTGGAATAGATCAGCAAAAATACTGCTACCTGTGTTAGTCTGGGTTGACTAAAGCAGGGGTCCTCAAACTACGGCCCGCGGGCCACATGCGGCCCGCCGAGGACATTTATCCGGCCTGCCAGGTGTTTTTGCCCAGTTTGGTTTTTTACTTCAAAATAAGATGTGCAGTGTGCATAGGAATTTGTTCATCGTTTTTTTAAAAACGATGGCCCTCCAACAGGTCTGAGGGACAGTGAACTGGCCCCCTGTTTAAAAAGTTTGAGGACCCCTGGACTAGAAAAACAAATTCATAGGTACTTGTATGTGTATAAGAAAGGGCTTTATATAAAAGAGCTATTGGATATGGAGAAAACATCCCAGTCCAGATCAAGTCCATAAGTCTGATATTAGCTCATATGTCTGATACCAGTCTATAAATTCTTCTTGAGACTCACGCAACCCATGTAATGACACCAAGTGCAGAAGATCACAGGCCAGTGGGAGGAAAGTCTTGTGAATCCAGTGGCAGCGGAGGCATCTCAGCGCTGGCGTGGGTCTCCATGTGGCTCCTCCAGCTCCAGGGCTCTGACTGCCATCAGCATAGCTCCATGTGGTTTGTCAACAGGAATGTCTTTCAGGGAGAGGCATTCTCCCTGTATCTGGCCTCCAGTGAGCTATTTATCTCCGTTTGTGCCTCCCAAATGAGGTCATCAAGCTGTGACCTGATTGACAGGCTAGACTCCAAACCTTCGGAAGTTGACCAGAGATTATGTAACTGCCATACTACCATCTTTACTTTTCCTTATAAAATGAAGGCTTCAGAGTTGGGAAAGATACAGCCAAAGCCATGTTAGAAAAACTTCCCACAGGTCTTGGACCGTTTGGGAATGAGGTTGTTCTTAGTTGCAGTTGGTCGGCCTCAGCTCATAGCGACCCTGTGTGCAACAGCAGGAAACACTGTTCCACCTTCACCGCTGTTCTTATGTTTGAGCCTTCGGGTCAAGGGCCTTCCTCTCTCTGCCCCTCTGCTTTACCGAGCATGATGTCCTTCTCCAGGGACTGGTCTCTCCGACAACGTGTCCACAGTACTTGAGATGAACTTCTGCCCTCCTTGCCTCTGAGGAGCGTTCTGGCTGTGCGTCTTAAGACAGACTTACTTGTTCTTTGGGCAGTCGTGGTGCTTTAATAGTCTTAGCCAGTACCACCATTCAGATGCATGATTCTCCTTCAGTCTTGCTTATTCAGTGTCCAACTGTCACATGCGTATGAGGTGATTGAAAATACCAGCAGCAGGCACACTTTAGTCCTCACTATTCAACCCTTGACAGAGGTCTTGAGCAGCAGATTTGTGCCATGCGATGCACCGTTTAATCTCTTGACGGCTGCTCCTGTGAGCACTGACTATGGATCCAACCAAGCCAGATGAAATCATCGACAACGCTAATCTTTTCTCCATTTATCACGATTTTACCTAGTAGTGGGCAGTTGTGAGGATTCTGGTCTTCTTTATAGGAGTTGTAATGACTGTGTATTCTTTCCATATATATATTTTTAATGCTTCCTGAAGGCTGCAATCCTTGATCTTCATCAGCACGTGCTTCAAGTCCTCCTCACTTTTAGCAAGGAAGCTTGTGTCACCTGCATGTCACAGGTTAAGTCTTCCTCCAATCCTGATGTTGCATTCTTCTTATAACCCAGCTTCTCTGATGATTTGCTCAGTATACTGATTGAACAAGTATAGTGAGAAGATACAGCCCGATGCACACTTTTCCTAATTTTGAACTATGCCAATATTTCCTTGTTCTGTTCACAAAACTGCCTCCTGATCCATGTACAAGTGTCCTGGAATTCCCATTCTTCTCAAGGCAGTCCACACTGTGATGGTCCACACAGTTTACAGTGAAACACAAGTAAACATCTTTTGGGTATTCTCTGCTTTGAGCCAAGATCTATCTGACATCAGCAATGATATCCTTTGTTCCGGGTCCTATTCTGAAACTGGCCTCAACCCCTGGAAGCTCCCTGTCAATGTACTGCTGCTACCATTGTTGGATAATCTTCAGCAACGTTTTACTGGCATGTGATATCAATGATATAACTTGAGTTTTCTGTTAGATCACTTTTGGAATGGGTGCAAATATGGATCTCTCCCAGTCAGTTGGCCAATTAGCTGTCTTCCAGATTTCCTGGCATAGACGAGTGCTTCCAGTGCTTTATCAGCTTGTTGAAACATTTCCATTGGGATTTCATTAATTCCTGGAGCCTTGGTTTTGGCTAACACTGTCCGAACAGTTAAACTTCTTCCTTCAGTACCACTGGTTCTTGCTCATATGCGTCTTCTTGGAATGGTTGGATGTTGACTGGTTCTTTTTGGTACAGTGAGTGTGTATTCTTTCCATCTTTTTAAAAAAATGCTTCCTGCATCATTCAATATTTGGGAATAATAATGACTAATTCTGTTTAGACTCTGACCCTTCAAGAAATGTTGAGAAGCTTTCTTGAGCCAATCTCCAAAGCCAAACACACTGCTATCAAGTCGATTCTGAAGCATAGTGACTCTATCTGTGTATTTCCACCCCCAGTAGTCCATATTCTTCACCTCTGTGATCTGTGCTTATTGAACATCTACATGAACATTGCATTGCTTGCTTATGTGCATGTAAGGTTTAAGGGTCCTATTTCTTATTTTACAAAGTACTGCTAAAATGAGTTAACAGGTTGGATATACCACACTAGTTGAACTTTAGTCATAGAAATCCAAACGCCTAAGGCTGCATATTGAGCACACGCCAAGTGCTAGAGTAATTGCCACAGCTGTGCCTTCCCACGTTTTCCTTTGTTATCTTTGGGTATTCTCTGCTTTGAGCCAAGATCTATCTGACATCAGCAATGATATCCTTTGCTTTGCTTCCTCTTAACCCATTACTCTTTCTTCCAATAGATTCCTATGAGAAGCCACTGCCACAAGGCTCTGGTCGGAAAAAACTACTATCTTCTACCATAAGCCCACCCCTAGCGATCACAGTCACAGAGGAACAAAGGAGACTCTTACGGTCAGTAGCGCCGGAGGATGCTGTGTTGGCAGTGTCATTGCTCACGGCCATTCTACGAAGTAGACACAGAACTGTTGTTTCCTTTTTCCCGTGAGGATTCAGGGGTCTTCTGCCTCTAGATGTTCACCTTCACGGTGCCACAACTGGAGCTCAGCATAGCTTTTCCTGATAATGACTTCCAGCAATTGACTTAAAATGCTCTTCCCAAATGATGTGCTGTGCTGCTTCTGAAAGAAAAGTTACTGCAGTAATTGCTTCCATTCTTCTTGGTCTGCATGTATCCTATGTTCTTCATTTTCTTTGCCATCATCACAATGGGAAGAAAGTTTAAAAAAAGCACTTTGAAGCGATGACTCCTACAGTGAGTCACACACAGGAGGGGAAGTTTTCCCACTCCTGAACACGGATTAGTAGAAATGAAAAAAGAATTGCCTGGCAGTTTATGTCTGGTTTGGGAATATGCTACTGCCAATACATATTTATCCCCTGGTGTGTAATTCATATTAGAGGTAGATTCATTTATTTATATTCCGTTAATTAGGACTCCGCAGTTCCCGGGGCTGTCAATTTCCTCCCTGCTTTAATGTTGACTCAAAGCACCCGTAGCCCCTTTCTTTGCCCAGACTCCTGAAAGTGCCAGCTACAAGAGGGTAGCAGCTCTTCAGCACAGAGTCAGAACGAAGAACAAAACCTGACAAAAGATGGCTTCTTTCCATGAAAAAGAGGGGGCAGGGGAAATTTTATAATAAGCACTAACCAAACACACATGAGAAAAACTTTACAACTCTTAAAGCCTGTGGCAGCTCTTGAAAAACTAATTGTGTATTTGGAAGCAGTACTGCAGTGTGAATGAAGGATCGCTGCTAATTCGAGGTCACCCCTTTAGGTGCTACCACAAGGACCTGGGAGACCTCGGCCTGGAGTTTCAGTTTCCAGACACGAGTGACTCTCTGGTTCTCGTGGGGAAAGTTCCACTCTGTTTCATAGAAAGAGAAGCCAGCGAACTTCGAAGAGGAAGAGCTACGGTGACCAAGGGTATTGTGGAGGTAAGGCGGAGCTTCCTGGGGAACAGAACCTCTTTTCTCTGTGTTCATCTTTCCTTCGCAAGCATTTCTGAAATGCCAGCTACGTGCCAGGTGCTAGACTGAAAGACCGATGAACTCAAGGCACAGAAGGACAATTAAGTAACTACTGGATCTTACTGTGGAATTTGACCAGCCCCGGTTTGTTCAAAAGTGCTGTGTGAATTCAGAATAATCACCGTGCCCAGAGGGGTGGAGATCACGGAAATTGTGGCAAAATAGCCAAATGATTTTCTTTCTTTTTTTTTTAAAGAGAAGTCTTAAAGAACAGTAGGAGCCTGCCAAGTTCAGAAAAGGGGAGAAGGGCCTTCTAGATAGGAACAGTATGCCAGAGACTGTAAGGAGATACTGTATTTCAAGAGAGGAGTCCTGAGAGGCTAGTGGTTAAGTGCTTGTCTAACCTCAAGGGTGGCTTCAAGAACAGTGTGCAGTCTGCTTCCTTGAAGATGACAGCCTTGGAAAGCCAGTGAGGCAGCGCACTGATAGAAGGCCACTAGGAGCTGGAATTGGCCCAACAGCACACAACAACGTTTCGGGAGCCAGAACACTGAACGTGGCTCGCTGTAGACATATATGGGATAGAGTAGGATATGAGGCCCAGTCAAGTTATCATGGTTAAATCAGAGATAGCTTCTCACCTCAGCAACAAGAGCAAGGACCAGAAAACAACACGTTCTGGCAGGGGTGTGGGGAGCTCTCACACATTGCTGGTGGGATTATAAAATTGCCCATCTACTGTGTAACAGAGCTGTGACACTTCCTTAAAAGGTTAGGAACAGACCACAAAATCCAGCAGTCCCACCACTAGGTACAGATCCCAGATTACAGAGAGC